ACCCTTGATTGCATATTTTTTCTACCCCTGATTCAACACGGTCTTCCCACGCTTTTTTCTTTTCGAAATGAGGCAGATCTCAGTCTTTATCTTGTCGGATGTCGATTCGGTGAAGCCGCGAACGAGACAACTAACGTGGATCCAACTCGATAAGCACAAACTGCGATGCAGCTACTCGCTGTGTAATACGGCTAAGGTGAAGCGGACCGTAGTTGCTCGGGTATTGAAAATTGTTCGATCGTCACAGGTTACCACAGTAAGTACGACCATGAATGAGTTTAATGTTTACGAGGTACTCCGAGCGGTGAAATTTTTTATTACATGGATTATGGGCCCATTTGAATGACAAAATTTGTTGAGAGACCAGGGTTGGGGTTATTGAGGTGAACTTTAGTGAATTGGCTGTTTTTCATCAATGGCCTGGCAACCACAACCAATTACACCTTGAGTGTAGCTTGCCCATTCCTGAATCAATAATCATTTGGATTGAACGAAACAGAACGCCGTCGATTCGCTTGGCAAAAAGAAACTTGTTCGAAAGCAAAAACGAATACACGTCGACAGAAGAAGAAGTATCACTGCATAAAGAACACCCACAAATGAGAAAACATTACAGTGGACATTTTATCCGCATGTTCGCACTTAGTAAACGGACTGAGTGAGTCGGGAATGATTACTGTGGGAACAATAATTTATTTACTTTTATATAACACAATCATGGGAATTTCCATCTAACACCTAACAACCTTTGTGAACAAACCTCGTAAGGAAATAACTGCCTTCTATTTCTGCTCGAGGATAGCTACAATTGATTTTGTCCCCACCTGTTGGTCATTACTTGTTCAATCAGGCTGTTTGCTAAGTGCGAACATGCGGATAAAATGTCCATTGTAATGTTTTCTCATTTGTGGGTGTTCTTTATGCAGTGATACTTCTTCTTCTGTCGACGTGTATTCGTTTTTGCTTTCGAACAAGTTTCTTTTTGCCAAGCGAATCGACGGCGTTCTGTTTCGTTCAATCCAAATGATTATTGATTCAGGAATGGGCAAGCTACACTCAAGGTGTAATTGGTTGTGGTTGCCAGGCCATTGATGAAAAACAGCCAATTTACCAAAGTTCACCCTAATATTATTTGTGGATATTCTTTATGCAGCACTACTTCTTCTGACAATAAGTATCCGCACTTTTAACTACAATCAATTAACCAATGAGGTGCATGGGACGGAAACGGTTTCAACCACAGCGTTTTGTTCTCGAATCAAACGTGGCTTTCGAAATCTAAGGGGTCAGTTAGTTTTTAAATCAAACTTGAAATGGTACGAAACCGGCGGAAAATTTATATCTTTAGGAGA